TTTTTCAGAGGTTAGGCTTCTAACAACAATCTATCTGTTTCATGAATGAACTTAAACTTGCTGACTTCTTGGTGTCTTACTATAAAGAAAGAGGCAGCAAATCCAGACTCAAAGTATACAGTTAAACATAATTAGTAACCACCACTTGTTTTCCATGGAAAAATCCTTCGAACCATAGAGGTTGTAAATCTCCAGATGCTGTGCCCCAGTATGGCACTGTTGGAGTCTCTGTGAAAGGTACAGAGAAAGACAGCACAAGAAATGGCAAAATTAGCTCTTGCTTCCATGACCTTGTATGTGTGTCAGGACCGAACGGCCTTTCTTGTCATTTTTATGACCTTTTGCTTTCTTCCTATATGATGTTCTTGATATCATCCCACAACTCTTCTGGTTTTCGGTCATTAGTGTCTAATGCATCAAATTTGTGCTTTAGATAGTCTCTAAATTCAGGTGGGGGGATACAGTCGAGGTTATATTTTGGCTCTCATGGACTTGTTTTAATTTCTTCAGTTTCAGCCTGAATTTGTACATGAACAAATGATGGTGTGTTTCACTGTCTGCCTCTGGCCTTGTTTTGGCAGATGATATGGAGCTTTTCCACAGATGTACTCAATTTGATTTCTGTGCATTCCATCTGGTGAAGTCCATGTGCACAATCATCTTTTATGTGGTTAAAAAAAGATATTTGCAATGAAGAAGCCTTTGGTCTTGCAAAATTCTATCATGCAATCTCTAGTATCATTTTTGTCTTACTCTGGAAGCTCAGCTGAAACCTGTTCACCATGGGTGACCCTGTCAGCATTCAAAATACCAGGGGGATAGCTTTCAGCATCACAGCAACTTCCAAGTCACCACAGTGTGACAAACTGACAAACAAGTGATGGGCATTCTACATATGATAAGCTATATCCTTCTGTCTTAGATGGTTCTCTTTTTCCCTGGTTATTGGTATGATGTAAGTCATTCTGGGTATTTAGCTTATCACCTGGGGATACGGGAAAGAACCCAAGTGTCAATGTTCTACTGCAGCCTAAGTGTTTTAGAATTTACTAATGCAATGTTACAGTGGCGACAGAGTTCACAAAATGATAGATTCTTCCCCAGGAACACCTGAACTAAGGCTGAAGATCACATGGCCATCAAGGTATCCTGACTTTCCTGAAAAGATTCCACTTCCCTAATAGTACAATGCAGTGTAATGTTGGATTCAATATTGGCCAGCATTTGAAAAGGATACTGAAATGCTAAACTACAATAGAGGTAAGTCTCTTTTTGATGAGATCCTTGCTTGGAATCTCCACTTATGGAACTAGGCTGGAATTAGCCTTGTGTTGCTTCCCATGGGACTCTCAGCATAACGCAGCAACAAAATCTCCTAAAACTTTTTGAGGCAGATCAATTTTCATATGATCTTTGCCATTGAAAAAAATCACATATAGTGGGGTCAACATTACATATCAGTCATTTTAAGGTTCATCTAGTACAGTAATTTCATTTCTTAAAGTAGCTCTTAGGAATAGATGTGAAAAGGCATCATTTTTTAAATTTTATCATGACAACTGTTTTAAAAGGAGAGAGAAAGATGTTTCTGAAAAATTGCCAACATTATATAACTTATGAATCAAGACTGTCTTTGGATCTTGAAATAAAATAATGAAAACTGAAGAGTGATGTCTGGAAATGATTGTAAAAGCAGCTGTATGCTACCACCCCAAAGTATGTGATACAAAGTTTCATACACAGAAAACACATACACACATACAAATTTTTTAAAGCATAAACTAGCAGAACTAACTTGTTCAGAACTTTGAAAACAAGTCAAAAGTTTATTGAAATTGAGCAAACAATGAATTAAGTAAAAAGTGACAATAAGGGAGTGATTATTTCTCCAGTCTAGGAGGGGAGGTCTCTAGGACCATCAACGGAGAAGAGCCGAGAGCGGGACCCTACCCAGAGAACCAGAGATGCCTGAGATGGAGACAGAGACGAGGATGTGGAGTGATGAAGCGGCTGGGGACTTTGGATCCAGAAAGGGAGAGGGACTGTGGGCTGAAGACTGGGGGAGTAGGGGGAATGTAGGGGGCGGGTTTCTAGGATATACCCTTTGGTTGGTTGAGGATGCATGAAGGGGATTGGAACCATGGCAATGAAATGATATGCGATGGAATGAATGTAAAACTAAAGTTCTCTCATGTAAACTATCATATAATTCACAATAAAACATTTAAAAAAAAGTGACAATAAAATAGAAGTAACTCTTTGTGGCATTCTCCAGTTGCCTATGTCCTCTTCTATCCCCAGCTCAGCAACAGTACTAAAGTAGCAGCAATCTGCATTACCCCCAAAAATCTCAGAATCCTGATTCCATATGGATGCCCCCTTTTACCACTAATATTAAACATTGAACTAGATGTTCTAATCTGAGCAATTAGGTAAAAAACAAAAAAATGACATCCAAGTTGGAAAGAAAGAAGTCAAGCTATCTCTATTCATAGATGATTTGACCCTATATATGTAACCCACGAATACTTTTTTTAATTAAAGGTAATAAATGAATTTTTTAAAATGTCATGATATAAGATCAATACACAAAAATCAGTTGTATTTCTATAAATTAGCAATGAACAATCTGAAAAGGTAATTAAGAAAATAATTCCATTGGCAACAACAGCTAAGAAAATAAAATATCTAGAAAAAAATTAACCAAGGATATGAATAATGTATACACTTAAAACTATAAAACATCAAAAGAAATGAAAGAAGACTTAATTAAATAGACATCCAAGTTCATGGACTGGAAGAGTTAACAGTGTTAAGAGGCAATACTACCCCAAGTGATCTATAGATTCTTAGTCTGGGTCTCTAGAGAAGCAAAGCCAATGAAGCCTATGTGTATATATATATATATA